ATGGCATGAGCCATTTTGAAAGCATGTCATCTGGATGCTGTCGTCAGTAACATTGTTGCGCTGAGCACCGAAAGAAGGAAGAAGCCACAGGATATGTACAGTCTGCATACCTCGTGTTTTTTGGATAGCCCGTCGCAGACAGTTCCAGTCTCCATTGATTCGCTTTCTTGAGAATTTGACGCATTTCGCGAGTAGGGCTTCTTTGGATCCATCTAGATCGTTCATGGTTGGGCTATTCAATGATGCCACCAACTTTAGGGTCTGCTTGAGGAAGGGAAGCGTTTTGCCTTCCCCAGCATTGGTGGCCATCCAGAACTTGTAGCACAACTCGTTATCTTCAAGGCAGACGGCAGTACAAGAGGGCCCGCCCTTGGTGAAGTCGCAGATGAACGCAATATTCCGAAGGAACCTTCGCCGACAGGTTTGTTCATCGTTCAGATCCCGTGGAAATGGCGTGTGATAACCTCGGGTTTGTGAAAGGGCGAAGAGGAAGAACAGTACTTCGTAAAATCTGGCTAAGAGTTTTGGATAGGCACCGAGGCGGGGCTTGCCAATTGGACTCGACGGAACAATGAATTGAGACTGTATGACTTGCACCGAGGTTGAGCTTGCTCTGGCGTCCATGGTTGCGAAGGCTGCACAAGAGGCCTTAAAGTGCATAAACATGTCCATTCCCAGACTGTATAATCCAAAAGGCCATAGGGCGCTTTAATATAGTGGATATCGAGTAGACTCGGGGAGTACTCTCATTCCAATTGGGCATAAAAATGCCATCGACGGGCATGACCGCATACAAGTGACCGGAGGCGCAAGATACCCGATGGACTGCCCAACATAACTGCCTGCGGATGGTCCACGCATACTTCACCATCCATTGCCTGTTACTACACTCATCGCACTCTCGGACTCACTAGGCTTAACGTAGATTGTCCCCATGTGCGTCAGGGCTCTCAGTGTCGCTCCGAGGAGTCGCTTCGTCAACGCCGAATTTACAGGTCCCTGTATGCGAAACCCATTACACACACTGTGGATTACGCGGTACAATCTCGGGATGCCCGCCTATGCGACTTGAGGAAAGGGCGCTGAGAAGGTGTGACGGGTAGAATACCGCCCAATCTGCGGGATGTCGCCCAATCTGCGGGATGTCGCCCAATCTGCGGGATGCCGCCCAATCTGCGGGATGCCGCCCAATCTGCGGGATGCCGTCCAATCTGCGGGATGCCGTCCAATCTGCGGGATGCCGTCCAATCTGCGGGATACACACCGATTGCGTGATGTCCTCAGCCTTGAAAGTGACGAGCGGTGATCTGCTGAAGCAGCAAGTGCGAATCAGGTCACGAACCGGCGACACTAAAGCGGCAGAGTCAAAATATCACCATAACGTAAAGTGTTTGAAAGTTACATAGTGAATCATTCTGTAGCCGGGCAGTGCACAAAGTCTAAGTACGTACGGCTCGAGACACAAAATCGCACACCCTCAGATGTGATGGCTTCACTCTGGCTTAGAGACTGCTCTGTGTGGCCACTCAGAAACAGGAACCACAGTAGTTGCAATGTTCCGAGCAGTTGGTGAGATCTCCACCAGCGCCATGCCAATCAAACACGCTGGCGTCAGCTGCGACATTGCCATCGCCAGGTCTATTTGCTTCAAGCACCAAATGCTTGGGCTCACCAATAACTCGTCCACAGACCGTCTCCCATCTATGCTTCAGATCTGCCGGGAGCGCATCTCCTGCGTCTGGCAACTGCTCACGGATGTCCAGTTTGCCAGAACCATCAAGAGTGAGTTCGAATCTCCCATTCTGAGCTGCAAAGCTCGCCATGTGTCGAATAAGTGTAGCGAACTTGATGAGTTCCGCCTTATGCTCCGCTTCCCACGTTTGGGATCTGAGAGACCCAGAGTCGTGGCAGTTCCTCTCCCATGTGGTCTTTTTCGATTGTACGGATGCTTCGCGTCTTGAGGTCAAAGATTTGAGCCTGATCCACGGCGTAACCCACGTTCTTTAGCTGAACGTTTGTAACTTCCTTTGGCGGCTGCTGGGCTGGCAGATCCGTGCTCAATAAAAGGTTCGCCAGGTCGTCCACATTTAGTTCGTTCGACATTGCAGAAGCATCAGCGCAGCTTTTCGTCTCAGTAGTTGACCTGTCGCCCTTATAGTCACGAGAAAGGTATCCATCCGCTTCGAAGCGTACGAGAAGCTTCATCCCGCCAAAAGCGTACTTGATGACACGCTGATGGGAAGCCGAGGTGATGACCTCCGACTCCCACGTTGTAAAAGCCTCAGGGAACGCGTGGCCATAACCTCGCACGTCGGGTATAAGCTCAGTTGGCGAATCCTCGTGGCGAATGAAAAATACAGCCTTGCCCACTTTCTCCACAAGCATTCGGCACTTCTTGTCCTGGCCTCGCACGAAGCGCAGCAAATTGCCCAATGTACTCCCGCAGGCTACCACGTCGACGTCGTCGAGGACGGACGGGGAGGAGGCCAAGCAGGCGGTGATCGCTGGAGCAAAGGGGTGATTCGGAAATTTAGCTGCATTCTTGTCTCGATAATAGCGGCCGCTGTCCTCTCGAAGCTGGATGTCGTCTCGCGAGGGGGTCCATCGTGGCGGCCGGCCTAGATTACCAGAATTGGCATTCAACTCTGACACAGAGTTTCACCGCAACTTACCTGGAACGAGTATAGTCGCTGACCGCTTGTTAAGTAAGTTGTATGATGCGACGAGCATTGAGTCTTTAATGACAGCACTCTTCACCAAAACGCTCTCTGTCAAGGCCACAACGCTGTCCAAGTCGAGTGACGTAATGACTGGCCCCAGAGCTGGTTCTGCCGATTGCGCTGGGGGAAGGCGGCGCCATTGCCTTTGTGACGTGGTGCGCAGTGGCCACATTGATTGCAAAGCAAAGAAGGGAGCCGGAAATGATGCTGTGAGGGTGGAACGAGTATGAGCAGGCTAAACACAAACCAGCGGCTCACAAGCCAGAATCCATGCCAGAATCCATACCATTTAAGTACCCTCACTGAGTACATGAAGCAAGGGGTTCGTATAAGTGGCCTTAGGGTGTAGGGGTAGACCAGCTCCATGCTTGAAGCAGCGAACTAGTGACACCGAGGGAAGAGGCAAGAAGACTAACGCGGGCAGAGCACAGTTGTCACCTGGCATGCAGCACAGTGCATGCATGGGGATGCATTAGCCGCATCATAGTCAGCAACACGGTTTGACTGACACATGTAGAGACCTGTGGAGAAGTTGAAGTACTTCAGAGCGTCGTGTTGCTTTTCCCAGCTTACATGCTCTGGGCGCACAGCAGAAGACAACATCAACACGAACCACTATCCTCGTCTAAAGGTCTATAGATATTCAAATCCAACACCCCAACGCCCAAGGTAAATTATGGCAAATGAGAACAACACGTCAAGGCGAGCCTCTCGCCTGCAAACTTTCCTGAAGGGGGTTTTGAGCGGCGAACGGCAAGTTGCCAACTCCCGTGACGCTGGATTGTTCCTTGAAGCCCTTTATAGCCACAAGCGGCCGAGCTCCTGCATTGAGCGAGTCGTCGCAAGTGATTACGGCGTGACGGCTATCCAGCTGGCTGTCCGAGTTGACTTGTCACTGACCTTTCTGGCGTCCCGAACGCTTCCCTTCCTGCGCTACTTATCTGATCCCGGCATCACAGCTCTGGTCAATGGGGAGCCCCTCCGGAAAATCCTGACTGCAATCGCGAGACCAATTACACTATGGGAAAAGCTCATGCAGCATTTCAAGGCCGGTGAATTCCCACCGGAGCACCTTTATGCGTTCGCCTGGTTGGCACTTGAGCTCGTCTTACATCATGAGATAGGCGAGACGGACGCGGCCGTGGTCGCAAACCATCGACAGATCGAAGAAGCTAGCGATCATGATGTTCGCGAGCTTGGCTACAGAATCCGGCATGCCCTGGACCTTCGCGGCAACTCAAATCAGAGTCCCCAAGGCCAAGCAGAGGGACCGGGTGGACGACACGACAATGACCATGCCGACTTTCGCAAAGTTCGCATCTATCCTACACGAGATGAGCTACTCTCCAAAATGCAGCCCTATTACCTGACTGCGAGCGAGGTCCAGCAAACTGAGGCGGCAAAACGGGCTCACGTGCACCTCGACAATCAGTTCCGTCTTCTTCGCGAAGACATGCTCGCAGAGCTCCGAGAGGATGTGCAGTCGGCCAAGAAACGTGGACAAGGTCGAGTGAAAAGCCTGACTCTTGGGGGGCTAGTGCCGGTCGACATTGATGTCGGGGATACTTCTGCCTCGCGGTTTAGGCAGTGTAGCCTTGCTGTACAGTGCTTCCGTGGCCTTGAGTTTCTCAAGCGAATGGACAAGGATCAGAGAAAGAAGCACATTCAGGACGATATCGGCTTTTTGAGAGATCAATCCTTTGGTGCACTTTGTCACGACGACGAAGTACTCGCTTTTGCTTCAATCTGTCGAAACGTGGAGCTCCTTGCGCAGAGTCCTCCGATTGTAACTCTACGATTCACTGATGCGACAGCGCTCAAGGCCAGTCTCGTGTCTCTGCATCGCGGATTTGGGGCGAGATCACACATCAGATTTGTTCTCGTGGACACGCCAGTGTTTGCGTATGAGCCAGTTCTCAGGCGACTGCAGGACATTGCCGAGATACCTTTGTGCGAATCGCTCTTTGGGTCGGTTCCCTCTGCACAAGACGTTATCCCATCCTCGGATGCTCTGCGGAAGCACATTCAAATGATGCAACGATCAGCTGACTCCATGCCGGACAACGGTACTGTGAGGTGGAGGTGCAAGAACGATGATGTTGAGGTGGATCACGCCCAGCTCACTTCCATTCTCGCTGGTCTCGCGCGAGCTATCAGCCTCATTCAAGGCCCACCGGGTAGGTGGAACAAAGCCATATACTTCAATGCTTACATGCTTACGGCCCATGAGGCACTGGCAAGTCATTCATTGGCGCGGAGATTGCCAGAATAATTCACGACATGTCGCAGCAACGTATCCTGGTGCTTAGCTACACCAACCATGCGCTCAACCAGTACTTGGAAGATTTAATGAACGCAGGAATTCCACCGGACAGCATGACACGGCTTGGCTCGCGAACCAAATGCACGGACGCTATTCTCCCTCTTCTCTTATCTCAAGCCTCGAGAGGAACAAAACTCAGCCACAACTCCTGGACCAACATTAACAGACTCAAGCACGAGGCAAGCGAGCTAGCTGAACATATCCAAGATATTTTCAAGGAATACAACAACATCTCCGGGTGTTGGAAAAGCATATCCGAATTCCTTGAATTTTCCTCGGAAGGAAATGATTTTTACGAGGGTTTGCAGACGCCTGTGGACTCAGGTGACTGGAAACAAATCGGCCAAAAGGGCAAAGAAATTGGCCCCAGCTATCTCTTCGACCGTTGGATTAAAGGTAAAGATGCCGGCGTATTCAAGTCTGCAGTCCAACCGGGGTCGCATATCTGGGAAATGTCCAAGGCAGTTCGTTGGCGTCATCGAGACCAATGGGTTGGTGCTATACTCAGTGAGACCGTCGACAGATTCGCCGACCTTGTCAGTCAGTTCGACCGTAAGGTGGGCGAAATCGACACCTACTTTCGAGAAGGCGACGTGAGGGCCGTACAGCAAAAGCGAGTCATGGCGCTGACAACCACGGGAGCCGCGAAACACACCTCTCTTTTGAAAGCATTCAAGCCAGATATTGTTATTGCTGAAGAGGCTGGGGAGATCTTGGAAAGCCACATTCTCACCGCAATGACCTCAACGGTGCGACAGTTGATCCTCATCGGGGACCACAAGCAACTGCGCCCCAAAGTAAACAACTATGGCCTCTCGGTAGAGGCAGGTAATGGATTTGATCTCAACAGATCACTCTTCGAAAGACTCATTCTTCGGGGAATGCCTCACACTGTCCTTCGCAAGCAGCACCGGATGGCTCCCGAATTATCATGCTATGCCCGAGGCTTGACGTATCCGGAGCTACTTGATGCACCAAAGACCCATGACCGGGAGAAAGTCCGTGGTCTTCGCGGCCGCGTTGTTTTCGTTCACCATGAAACTCAGGAGGGCGGCGATGTTCTTTCGGAACGTCGAGATCCATGCTCTAAGGGCAGCAAGAGGAACGACTTTGAGGCCGAAATGGTGATGCGTTGTGTCAAGTACATGGGCCAACAGGGTTATTCTACATCGCAACTAGTCATCCTGACGCCGTACCTGGGACAACTTCGCGCTCTGTCGGAGGTGTTGCGGAAGAATAAGCACGACCCGCAGATGAGCGAGCTGGACAGGTTCGAACTACTTCGGGCTGGGCTCATGACACATGCGGAGACCAACATCGACAAAGAGCCTGTTCGAATATCCACTATAGGTACGTGGTATCAGTGCGTCTACATACGAAAAGCGACGACCTAATGACTTTGGTCGTCGCACAGACAACTATCAAGGAGAAGAAAGCGACATCGTTATCGCATCCTTGACAAGAAGCAACCCCCACGGTGACATTGGCTTTATGGCCGCCCCAGAACGACTCAACGTGCTCATCACTCGAGCTCGTCATGGTATGATCCTTTTTGGGAATATGCAGACATTCGTTTGCAGTAGAAAGGGCAGGGCTGCCTGGCTGCCTTTTTTCGATATGCTCAAAGCCAGAGGCTGCCTATACGATGGACTCCCTGTCAGGTGCGAAAGACACCCGGAGCGCACGGCACTGCTCAAAGTTCCATCAGACTTCGCTCAAATGTGTCCTGACGGCGGCTGCCCCGAACGTTGGTATGTTTGCCATTCGCAGGCCATTCATCACACTCTAACGTCCTCGCCAGTCCCGTCATGCTCGCCTGCGGAATTCACAGTTGCACATTTCGATGCCATCGCGTGGCTGATCACACGAATGCGGAATGCAACCATATCGTCAAGACTACTTGCGATCGTAATCATCAGACCCGGGTACCATGCCACAAGCGAGGCACCAGGTGCCATGAATGTGTGCGGGAGGACCAAGAAACAGAGAAGCGAATCCGCAGGGACTTAAATCTCGAGATTGAACGGCAAAAGCGACAGGCGGCGTACATGAAAGAGTTGACCGAAATTCGAGACGAAATAGATCATCAACGACGCACCATCCGATATGTCATCGACGAGGACGAACAGAAGAAAACTATTTCCCAACATAGAGCAGATCTGGAGGTACTGCAAAAGACGCATGGCAATATTCTAGCGCGGAAGCAGCATATTAGCCAGAGTGTCGATGCCAGTCCACCGTTCGAAGATGTGTCGACAGGACAAGCGGAGCTTGACGATGCATGGTGTGTAGAGACCGCCAAGGGAGACTGGGAGCGAATGAAGGCACTTGAAGGCGCACAGAGCACTCCGCTGGATACTCTCATGAGCATGATTGGTCTGGAAGACGTTAAGAAGGAGTTCCTTGCTATTAAAACCAAGGTAGACACGTCTCTTCGCCAGGGTGTCCCGCTTACGTCCGAGCGATTCAGCTGCACCCTACTTGGTAACCCGGGGACAGGTATGATTATTTGCGAAAATAGGGAGCTGCCGAAGCTGACATCAGATTCCAGGCAAAACCACGGTGGCTCGCTTGTACGCCTCATTTCTCACAAGCATTGGAGTGATACCAGGCGCAAGTTTCCACGAAACGACTGGCTCCTCACTCGCTAATAAGGGCATATCTGGTTGCCGAAACTTACTAGACACAATCCTTGAGGACGGTGGCGGCGTGCTTTTCATTGACGAAGCTTACCAGCTGACCTCTGGTAACAATCCAGGAGGTTCTGGTGTGCTTGATTTTCTTCTCGCAGAAGTCGAGAACAACCGCGGGAAGATCGTCTTCGTGCTGGCTGGATACTCCCGTGAGATGGAAGGCTTTTTCTCACACAATCCTGGCATACCCAGTAGATTCCCTACTGAGATCCGCTTTGCCGACTATACCGATGATGAGCTGCTGAGTATTTTCAACAAGGCCATCCACCAACGATTTGGGGGTCGGATGACCTGCGAGGGCGGTCATCGAGGGCTGTACTGCCGCACCGTAGCTCGTCGCATCGGCTACGGGAGGGGCAGGGAAGGGTTTGGGAATGCACGAGCCGTTGAGAATATCGTCAACATCGTTCATAAGCGGCAGGGAAGTCGTCTTCGCCGCGGAAGGTCGTCAGGAGAGCACCCAAATGACTTTATCCTCACCAAAGAAGACCTCATAGGCCCGGCGCCAACTGACGTACTCGCCAATTGCAAGGCGTGGGAGAAGCTGCAGGGTCTCTTGGGTCTCCAAGCCGTGAAGGAAGCAGTTCAGTCACTAATGGACAGCATTCGAGAAAACTACCAGCGGGAGTTGGAAGAGAAGCCGCGAATTGACTTCTCTTTGAACAAGGTGTTCGTTGGAAGTCCCGGTACAGGAAAAACGACAGTGGCAAAGCTTTACGGAGAAATCCTGGCTGCTCTGGGATTGCTCTCGAAGGGCGAGGGTCTGTAACTGAGCATCTTTCTCCTGAAATTCTCTACTGACATATTGACAGTTGTGGTAAGGAATCCGGCAGATTTTATAGGAAGCGCGCTGGGTCAGTCAGAGCAGCAGACCAAGGGCATCCTCGCAGCCACAGTTGGCAAAGTTCTCGTTATTGACGAAGCGTACGGCTTGTACGGTGGCTCGCAAGGTGGAACCACAGACCCGTACAAGACCGCTGTCATTGACACCATCGTTGCAGAAGTGCAGAGTGTGCCTGGTGATGATCGCTGCGTCCTTTTGCTTGGATATAGAGATCAGTTGGAGACCATGTTTCAGAGCGTCAACCCCGGTCTGAGTAGGAGGTTCCCGTTGGCCATGGCCTTCACTTTCGACGATTTCTCAAGTGAGGAGCTGGGCCAGATCTTGGACATGAAGCTCAAGGACCAAGGATACCGCGTTACTGGGCAGGCTCGTAGCGTCGCCATGGATATTTTGAGGCGAGCGCGGAACCGACCCAACTTTGGCAACGCAGGTGAAGTCGACATTATCCTCAGTGAGGCGAAGCAACGGAGCCAAGCGCGGCGTTCTACCACTCAATCTGGGTCCGTGGACTTGCTCGAGGCAGTGGATTTTGACGAAGACTTCGACAGGGTGGAGCAATCAGAGACAAATATCCGGAAGCTCTTCGACAGCACCATCGGTTGCGGTGCTCTAGTGGATCGTCTTATTGGCTACCAGTCCACGGCCAAATCCGTCAAAGCGCTTGGCCTGGACCCCAAGAATAGCATACCGTTCAACTTCCTATTCCGCGGTCCACCTGGTACTGGCAAAACCACGACCGCCAGAAAGATGGGCAAGGTGTTCTACGACATGGGATTTCTGGCAACAGCCGAGGTAAACGAATGCTCAGCCACAGAGCTCGTAGGCCAATACGTTGGCCAGACAGGTCCTAAAGTACAACAGGTACTGGATCGTGCCTTGGGCCGCGTGCTCTTCGTGGACGAGGCTTATCGCCTCGGCGACGGCACATTTAGTCGTGAGGCGGTCGACGAGTTGGTCACTTGCCTGACCAAAGACCGGTATCACAAGAAGCTGATTGTCATTCTCGCCGGATACGACGACGAGGTCAACCGGCTGATGGCCATCAACCCAGGCCTTTCATCCCGCTTCCCTGAGGCCGTCGACTTTCGTGCCTTATCAGCTGCGGAGTGTATCCAGCTTCTTCAAGTGGCGCTTTCTAGGCAGCAAGATCAGCTGAAGAAGAATGGGGTGAAACTTGAGCTTGCTGTATTGACCCGCCCCACCGTCGAATATGTGTCGAAGATGATGAACCTTTTCAGCAGGCTAATCTCACAGGGGAGCTGGGCCAACGCGCGAGATGTAATGACGCTTGCGGAAGGAATATTCAATCGAGTGGTCAAGTGGAATGCTGGCACGAATATGCATTCGCTCGTGCTTAAAGAGGCTATGGTCACCGACGAGCTCTGTGCCATGCACGAGGAGCGTCAGAGTCGGGCGTCGAGTACACGGGGTCCGGAACTGATACGCCCTGAAACAATGCTGGTTGGCCAGTCACCCATCACTTACAACCGATCACAATTAACGACAACGTCAAGTTTTGCGGCAGCAATGCGACCACACAAGGAAGAGGAGCACCTGGAGAATTCGACCAGCATCTATGAGAATCACCCCGTGACGTCAGGCGGCAGCATGACACGAGCATTGCATGCTGAGACCAGAGACAAAGGGGTCAGTGACGCAGTATGGGACCAGCTCGAACGCGATAAAGCTGCTGAGGCTGCCAAAGAAGAACGTTTCCAACGCCTGCAAAGCGCCGCTCGTGACGCCAGAGACGCAGCCCGGGATCTCATACTAAAGAAGGTAAGAATGGAGGAAGACGAAAGAAAAAGAGAGGAAGCGATACAAGAATACCTGCAAGTAAATGGGATTTGTCCCGCCGGATATCATTGGATCCAGCAGAGCAACGGTTTTCGATGCGCGGGTGGAAGTCACTTCATGGCAAACGACCAACTTAATGAGATGTTCAAGTAGAGATGTTCAAATAGGAAAGCACACTGGAGGAGGGTCTGGGTGGTTTTAACTCAGAACTGTAGTCTCGAATGAATCCCTCAGAAAATACTAGCAGAGAGCAGCTGTGATAGACTTTGCTTTCGATGACCGCGTCGTCAAACCGTTCAGCAATAACGGACAAGTGGATTGAGTGGTATTTCTCGTTGGCGGCCATCGCTTCAAATGTGCGATATCTCCGTGAAGGCTGAACAAATAGAATCACGGGAAGGACAAGACACCGCAGACTTAGGGTTTTTGATGAGACGTCAAATATTCTTGTCCGACGCAGCAACGCTGCCTCAAATTGGCATCTTTGCTTGTTGCCCTTATCTGGTGGACGTATTCGTATTCCCTTTATACATATTCCCTATACGACCATTTGTGCATGGTAGAGCAATAAATCCAATGCAGTTGACATGTGGTCTCTCGGGGTAGTAGCAATCGAGTTGTGGACCAGGTGGGATTTGCTCTTGGACAGTACGGTTAAAGAGATGGCATGGAGCAGAGACCGGCATTACTCGTGGATTCGGACTGATCTGGAGTCTCGCGTTGATCGTGCTCCAGCACCGTTTCCCCTCATTCGCCGCTGATTGCTGTCAAGTGTCACCAGCGAGAGGTGGAGCGCCAGAGTCTGTGAAGAATGGCTGGACGCCAAAGCACGAACGTTCATTAGCGTCGAAGGTACCCCGTTAGGAGAGGAGCGGATGCATCTGCGAAGTACACACCCTACGCTGTCAACAACCCGAGCGAACGAAGGCTCGTTGCGTCGTAACAGCCCCTTCCGATCAATGACCGGCGGTGTGGATGGTCGTCAACAAGCAGAATAGGCCCAGATCTTCGTCGCCCGAGTTGTCAAATAGTCGCACTTTTGTCGAACTACGCTGCAAGTCATCCCTGTGCCAATTTTTTAGCAGCACGAAGCCACTGCCACTTGAACCACTCATACTGTACCAATCGTTCTGTCGTCTGCTCCAGGGCAGATTTCGTGCGAAACAGATGGCGTCCTGGCAGGCAGAAAGGTAGCGACGGCCTGACACATGTGACACGAACAACGACTACCCTTGTGAAGTCGGGTTTCGGAACTGGGAGTCCAGATTTCCGGAAGGGACATAAAGGACGGCTCGTTGACATCTGAGGGAGTCGGCTGCGGGGCGCCCCCATCATGTTGTGACGCTAGCCTCTCGCCGCGTATGCCGGCCGTAGGCCGCTCGTTGACAGGAGGGAGCATACCATCAATGCCGGGTGGCCTGGTAATGAGCGGCGATCAGTCGCCTAGGGAAGCGTCATATATGATCCAGTCCTGATGAAACATATCCATTAGCTCGGGCTTGGTTCCAGGGGACTTCCACATCCAGGCACAGCACTCCAGGTGTCAGCGGAGAATGAACCGGACCCGGGGTTGCTTAATACAAAATCGTCCAAGAGAACGCGCCATGCCTACGATGGTTCCCAAGCGCGGATACGAACTGGATTTCCAATGTTACAAAGGCGGCAAGGCATCGCCGAGCCCGATGCAGTCATGCAGGTCACGCCGCCATGATACTTCCGCGGCGGCATACCAGTGCTGCTCGTGCGATAATACGCTTGCTAAGGTTCTTTTGATAGGATTGTGTTGAGGTTGTGTGTAACAGGCCCGCATGGTCCTGTCGTGCTTTGGGTTTGTGTCCAGACGGGCGCTGCTGCATGTGGTCCAGGCTCTCCCGGGACTGGATGCTCCCACTCCGCAACATGCGCCAATGACGGAGCTGACCTCACATGTACGAGTTCGGCCAGGTCCAGGACATGCCTGCACGCGAAGCACCGGCCATGTCAGGCAGATAATGTGCCGCCTCTGATGGGCCTTCGACACGCGTGCTGGCGGGGTGGTGGCATAAGGCGCAAGGCGCACGAAGTGGCTTGGACCCGCATCTCCCAGGCAACGCAACGCTTCCCCTTCCACGCAACATTTTCCCTTCCGCGCAACGCTTCCCCACGCAACGCTTTCCCTTCCGCGCAACGCTTTCCCTTCCACGCAACATTTTCCCTTCCACGCAACGCTCTCCCTTCCACGCAACGCTTCCCCTTCCACGCAACGCTTCCCCTTCCACGCAACGCTTCCCCTTCCACGCAACGCTTCCCCTTCCACGCAACGCTTCCCCTTCCACGCAACATTTTCCCTTCCGCGCCACGCCCACGCAACCTCAAGCCCCTCGCGCGACCAGCGACGCCGTCCAGGACTTGCGAGTCTCTTCCTGACCAAGGATACGAGATCGGAACTTGCTATCATGGAACGCGTGCTCTGCATTTGTGGGCACCGCTACACAGCAAGTGGCCACAGAAGTCATCGGAAGAAGCCACACGTTCGTTGCTGCGAAACTATCTTGTTGGCGAGGCGTGGCTGAAACACCACAACACAACAAGCCATAACGGTGAAAAAGTGAGCACGTGGACAAAGAGACCGGCTCGTTATCGTGAGAAGGTGGAGTGTGAGCTCGGGTGCGGGTTGGCTCTCCAACGTGACAGGATGAAAAGACATCACAAATCGAGCACTATATGTAGATGCACCGAGTGTGATCGAATGTTCATCTCCACCGGCAAGAAAGAGCACGAGCACAGCACGAAGCACGTTTCTTACATGCTGGTTCCTTCACTTGACCGGGAGCACGCAGGTGCTGCGGCGGCGGTATCGACACAGAGGACACAGGAGCCCGGAATGCCTCGCGAGAGCATTGAGACGGTCGTTATTGGCCGAATTAGAGAAGGGGCCGACATTCCAGCAGGACGACTTCCGATAAACCTGCTGAACCTGAAACGTCACAACGGTGCCGTTATAGTACTGTACTTTTGCATTACGGACTTACGGTAGCCACACCATCTTCTGGGCCTGTCCGTTTATCCAATTACAGTTATAGCCACGGCCGGTGTTGGCTAGGTAGAGTAAAGACGAGGATACGACGTTCTCTTGATGTGTCCAGAAGCTGGTCTACGACAGGGTGGTGATGGAGGGAGTCGTATGTGGACATAGCCTTGCCCATGACCCTTTGCAGCTCTTAAAACCGTAAGAGGCCCAAGGCCGGAATAGTTCGCGGCAACAAGCCGCCATAGTGGCAAATGGATGCGATGGCCCTCGCGACAAAATCACGCCTGTTGCGGCCACTTGCCCAGCTGGAGAGAATGAAACCGCAAACCCGCAAGGCAAAGGCAGAAACCAGCCTTCCTTTTAGTGGGTAAAGGGTTACACTTCCCTAGTGGCTATCTTGTCGACTACCTGCCGGGTCGGGGGTGCGGGAATTGCACCCATGGCGGCAAGAGGCAGATCACCGCCAGGACACGCGATCTTGGCACAATTCTCCAGGTGCACGCTACTATACATCGCAGCTGAAAGCCGGTTTGTCGACATCGTCTGGTGGCATCTCGTACTGCTGCGTCCATCGTTTCCTGCCGTCTAGTGTCTGCATGTTGTTGGCTACTATAGGTCATTTCACCTTCTCGTCGTGACGTGGGTGCGTCCACTTCCATGCAGGACGTTATGGCTTCGCGGGGCCTGATTCTGGATGTCTCGATGTTGTGCGGTATGCTGCCGCCACGTCCGAAGAGCCAGTTGCCCAGTTGGAGACATTTGCAACGCCAGTGGCACCGAAAGGCAGAGACCAGCCTTCTGTCCTGGTGTGGGCAAAGGGCCATCTTGCACAAAAGCACCTACCTACTATCAAGTGCTAATTTGTAACGCAAGCTGGAAAATAACTCGAGGCCCTGTATGCGGCCATACTGCGATTGTGTTATTCTATTCACACAACAAATGTTGGATTTGGTTGAGACGGTGGATGCATGCACACCTTCCCGCCCGGCAGCTGCAGCCCATCGCTCATCCTGGCGATGGGTGGGGTACAACTATCTACGAGATTTTATTCTTGTGTTTGAATTTTATTTCAACGTTTTAAAAAGGCCTGGCCACCGCCAGGGGCCGTATTTCGACAGCAGGACGTGTCTGCGACGGTCGCCCACTGGTCCGGATATCGCGTTCGCAGCCCGAACTCCGCCAAGGCGCAAACACGCTGCCCAATGATGCGGAACTTTCACGCCGCATCGTGCTTATGTTACCATACGCTTTGCCATTTACGTTGAGGATGCTCGTCACGATTCATGGTGTTGGCCAATACAACGGCGACTGGCGGCCAATGCATTTCGTAGGGCGAAACCGGACAGCTGCCCGCTGAGCTGGTCACGCCTCCCAGACCCAAGGGTATCGGCCACTGACGATCGATTATATCAATACTATACCGCGGAACATTCAATAAACATGGTACTGACAGGCCTTTCACGTACTGTGGAGGCAGCGCCCAGAAGATATTTTCCGGGACCTGCCTACCTATACAGCATGGTTCCAGCGCCACAATGTGCAACGGCACATGCAGGCTGGCACAGGGCCTCGTCTCGTCGCAGAAGCAAGCCTGATCGTATTTCGCATAAATTATATGTATACTTGAACTAATTAAGTATTTTCTCGGCTCTTATCGCGGGCGCATAGTCCATGGTGGGCGTTTTGATACCATTAAAGCATGGCGATTCGCGGCGGGATCTTGTCTGATCTGACTCGTCCGCTTCGACAGGCCGATCGCGACCCTCGATTCGCAGCAAAGCTGAGGGTCGAAGTCACCAGGCATTATTGGTCTGATGCCGCGCGCCTTTTGCGAGCTCTGATTCAAAGCGACTGGTATGGTTGTTAGGACGCCGACGACATGACGCACATTAGGTCGAAACACACATTGATTGGAGGCGGGAGGTAGGGCGTCGTCACGGACTGTACGAATGCCTCAACGATTTCATGGCCTGCAGTGGACCGAATCTGCGTATCGCAAAATCAGCAAACCTTTGGGCCAAGCAGACACCATTTACGTGTTATCGCCGGCGCAGACGCAGCAGCCACAAGTATCAGAAATACATGAGTTGAGAGGCGTCCATTCCAATACCGAATACTACGGGCCTTGTCCACACTGGCCAGCACTGGACAAAGGAATTGATTTCGGCACCAGCGCAAGACGAAACTTAATCCTATAGTTGAAAAAAATTCATCCTCCAAGTGTTTTACTGTACCTCGCCTTGGTGTCAAGATCGATCGCCGGGCTTTCTGAGTGACAAGTAGGCAACGAAGCGACCGTCAGCACATCGGCGACCCCGAGGCACAATTACCGACCGTAGTCCGACTAAAGGACGCGTCTGATACGTAAGTGCGTTCAAATAGTTCAATGGCTGTTTGTCTCTGTTATCATCGTCGCAACCAGGTAATTGTCTTCCCTTTGTTGAAGAAAGGATGTCGGGCGCGGGGACTGCCGCACTCATCGGCGATTGAGACAGGATGGTGGTGGTTCGCTGCTACTCAAGAGCAGCCATGGCTTGGGCCAAAGTAGCTCCCACAGCCGCAGCACAACAAACCATTTGCAACGGCAGTGGCTCCCGTGCTCACTGCCCAGCGAGGAATTAATTAGCAGCCCGCGAGTGCTCCTGGTCAAACGACCGACCCGGATGCCTTTTTGCCCCCGCAATTGGTGACGGTTAGCGTTCGCCCTTCGATGCATCTTTCACCGACAGCCCCATGGCCTAGCTTGGATACAATATATCGAGAGCTCCGAACTGCCGCAAGAGCTGGTCGATGCTTCTGGTTCTGGATGAGCTTCCAAATGCCCTCAAATATTTGCGTATTCGATGCCGGCAGGTCGTCATACGGCACACTTTCGTTGAAGTTCCCGCTTGTATCCAGAAGCCCGCTTCCTAGTGACGCAAACCCAGTCGCAACAATGCCACAATTACGACGCCCGAGTGAACCGATCACGACCGGCGCACCTCTTCCAAGACATCGCACATGGAGTGGTGGCGTCTTATTTACATTGCCAAAGTCCACGTATTCAGCACCACAATGATCACGGTACAGGCTCCACTTAAAATTTCGCCCGGATAAACAAGCAACAGATCATTGTATATGTCAACAACAAATCGGACCGAATCATTCGGCGAAGAATGGGGGAAGATGGGCGATTCGACAGGCAGCTGCTACCACTGAAGGCGGGACACGCGACAAACAGCGAAGTGGGGCGCTGGTGATAAACAATTGGCGCGTCAGTCAGGCCGTCAAACCCCGCTCCCGACATAAGGGCTCCATAAAAGGCTGCAAAAGAATGAAGGACAAAGTCCAGGCTCAGACTCCCATCCTCAAATGGTTGTCAATTTCTCGCAGGCAGCCGCATTCACTGTCCCTATTCATTGTCAACCCTCGAGGAGGTCGCTCGCGTGAGATGGCATCGTTCGACGCCATCGCTGTGGCACACAATGACAAAGAACGCGGGAAATTCATCCGCAAACTCATCGACGAGCGGGATGAAATCGTGGCCTTTGTGGACCACCGTCTGGGTTGGGGCGGAGCTGGACAGTACAGCCAATTTCTGAAGGGGTCGTTCAACATCAGTTTCGTGATCGAAAATAAGGGCAATGGGTACAAGGTCCTTATCCGGTTCCCACTTCCCGGCCGTACATACGAACAATGGAGGGAAGAAAAGGTCAGGAACGAGGTGATGGTCATTGCCTACCTTCGCGAACACACGACTATACCTCTCCCACGAGTGCTCGCCTGGGGCCTTGCTGGAGAAAGCCCAGAGCAGCTGGGGCCGTTTATCATCATGGAATTCATCAAAGGCATCGATCTAGACGAAGTTCTAAAACAGCCGACAGAGAACGACCAGGAGGAGGTGATTCTCAATCCAGATATTGATGAGGCGAGTCTCGACATTGTCTACGACCAAATCGCTGAGTATATGGTTCAGCTATCTCGCCTTCGGTTCCCACGCATTGGAGCCGTTTCTGACAACACTTCCTGGCACCAAACCATCACCGGAAGACCACTTACATTCGACATGAACGAGCTGGTGACGAACACCGGATATCCTGCGGATAAGTTTCCTTCCACGCCTTTTGACCGTACCCGTGATTACTTCGAGGCACTCTCGGGTATACACTTCACACATCTTTGGTCTCATAGGAACCTAGCCACGTCAGACGTTGACGCCCGATGGCGGTTCCTCGCCCGCCACCGCTTTCGGCAACTTATTCCAAAGTACTGCAACGAAGGCGATTCATTCAGGCTTTTTGGCGATGACTTTCGTCCGGCGAATATACTAGTTGACCCGGTCACGTTCAAGATCACTGCCGTATTAGATTTTGAGTTCACAAACGCCATGCCGGCCCAGTTCACGTACGATCCGCCCTGGTGGCTGTTGCTTCTGGCGCCGCATATCTGGCTTGAGCGTGACAAGAAGGAAGAGTTTCTACGCCGCTTCGTGCCCAGAATGGAACAGTTTATTCGAGCGGTGGAGCGAGCGGAGGCAAGGTCGTCATCGACTGAAGAGCCATTCCTCTCTACTCGGATGCGAAATTCGTGGAAGACTGGGCAATTCTGGTTCGACTATGCAGCGAGGAGAAGCATGGATGTCGATGTCGTTTATTGGCATGTGCTGCACAGAATGCATGGAAATGAAGGGAGTCTCGACAAGGAGACGCGCGATGAGATGGAAGATGTTGTCCAGATGAAGATGAAGCAGTTTAAGGCTTACGAGGAAGAAGAGTTGAAAGGCGTCCAGGTTGCTTAACTGCCTTGCAAATAGGTAGACTTGTCCGCCCGCGCTCCTTTTAGCTTCCAGAGATTCGCTTCCTCAACTTTCCCAAATTGACCCCGAGTTGAACACTTATGCACACAATTGCATGAGATAGGCACTCAGCTGGCTAAGGAAGATTGTCGTGGCCGCAGGAGGCTTCGGTGTACGTGACCTGACCTTGGCCTTTGACCTCAAGCGGCTTTTCCGCCACCCTCCCGCCGTCGCTGGCTCTCCCTCGCTGAATCTTCCATCATTTTGGCATAGTCCGCCTCTTTCTTCGCCTGCTCCTCTTCCCTGCGCCTCCGGTCTGCCTCGGCCCGGCGTTCCTGTGACTCTCTCGCTGCCTTGGCCATCATATCTTCATCGACGGGTCGAGGTATCTTAAACCCATCGTCTGCCATGTCGTGTGCGTTCGTGCGGGTGGTTTCAATGACTCAATCTTGAAATGGAGCAGGCAAAACTGGAAGAGTGTTCAGAGCCGAGGTGCCAAGTGGAGACGAATGGCTCCCAGGCTTTATACTTTTTGTCAATGCGGGCGGATTGCTTGGCCAGCCGATTGCGAGCCACAGTTAAGAGCATGCCTGAGGCGGGATGAGCAAGGGTTGCCTGGCACATAACGCCGGCGCTGCGGAAGCCTCTCAGCAGAACAGAGGCGATAACGGGAAGCATACCACCACACCTTCCTGCAGGACGTGCAGGATGTGTAGGCAGCAACCCCCCGGTGAACGGCTGGACGCGTTGCGCGCCGAAATGAGGGGTATGAGACAGATTGTCAGTACGAGGCCATCTGATTGAAGAACTGCAGCAGCAGACGCAAAACACGAAGCGAGAAGTGCACGATGCAAGAGAGGAGAGGAAGTGCGCGGTGCAAGAGGGAAGTTGAAGCAGGCTGCCGAGCAGATTGAAGCCATCACGACACACGTTGGTATTTGTTTGCAAATCTGCGGGCGATAATGCATTCTTCGGCATAAGTCAAGGGAGCTGCATATCGGAATCCCAAACGGTTAAGTATAGTTCCTCCAATCGTAGGAGGAGCGATACACAGAAGTCTCGGTCTGTGAATCTTCAGCAAGAACTATGCTTGACGGCTTGACTGTCGTGATGTGCGGGCTCCATTTCTCAAGCAGAGGTGTTAGGAGCCAACCAAAAGTAGGCCCCTGCACAACAGCATTTCGGACTCAGACCAAGGCCGACCGCCTGACCGAACGTGGATGTCTTCACGCACTTGATGGACCAAGCCCGTTTTCACCGTGAATGCCGTCCATAGCGCTTCAGGAAAACAATCTTCCAATCAGTGTTGGCTGAGGCTGCCAGAGTTGCGACGACTGGGAGCCAGTGAATTGCACGTCCCTCCGCGTGGGCGGGATAACTGACAATCGATAACAGAAGCAATGGCGCGGGGTCTTCATACTCAATCCTCGATTAGACCGCACAATGTGTATGGATACACGAAGACCAATCGTCCAACCACAAGTCAGTGAGGGGCTAGGGGTGCGTGTCATGATTGATCGTCGCTGGTGGTGCCCATTCATTGTCGGCCAGAATCACGCCGATAACGCAGCTCAGCCTAGTTATACCTTGCTGGTTTGAGGATGTTGCACGGACGCGTGTCGCTTTGCATGCACAGCTATCCGAGAAGGGTTCATTTCTTCTCCATGACAATGCGCTGTCGGCTTACGCCAATGTTACACTTAGCGGGGCAGGGTGTCATGTTCACTTACCATTCCTGGCGGATGCGAGCGGGAGTCGGGCGGGACCGGGGTCTCGAACCCGAGTCCGAGCTGGAAGCAACCTGGAAGTGACGACATTGCTGGGTGGGAACCCGCTTGGAGCGCGTCGTGCCGCCCACTGTTCTCTCTTTTCTCGCGCTAATCGCCTGGACTTCCCCAGCCTGCCGCCCCAAACCTGAGTTGCCCGACTTTGCGTTACCTTCGGCGGGGGTGTGCAGGGCCGATGATCCATGCAAAGGTGAGATCTTCACACGCTTGGCTTCTTTCGGTGGATGCGATTCGCCCAACATATTGTTTGCTCATCAGCAAAACACGAGTCGCAAGCTCTCCAGAACAAGGTCACGGCCAGATAGTTCAACGGCCGCGCGCGCGTGTTACGCGCCTCACCGGCGGCCAAGCAACTGGCCTGTCGGTATCAACCCATGTCCAGCTGTCGATGTCCGCGCTGATGGGATAGAAAGGCCGGCCACGAGTCAAGCTCAACGGGCACCTTCGGACGCGTCTGACCCCCTTGTCACCGCTCGTCAAGGCGTGGTTGGTCCTTGACTCGTTGTGACTCGAGCCGGGTGCATGGCCATCTGGCGTGTGCGTTTTCATCTATGGGCAGCGATGTGTATCAAGGGTACTGGACCACATCTCCAGAGGACCGATGGTCTCGAGCTGCTCTCAGCAACAATAGCATGCTCATGTGAGGTGTCTGCGCCGCCCGTGCATAGGCGATAGCATGCCACTTCGCGTCTAATTTTGCCGGCGATGAGAGGAAAGTTGACCTGTGATTCGTCATCTATTGCGAGTCGTGCTTTCTTGGTCCGAGAGATACGGGACTTCAACCCCCCTACAGTGAGCTAGCAGGACTTGGCCCCATGCGACTCGCACACGGTCCCGCGTGCTTGCATGCCGCACGGTGCATCGTCATGACAACGAAATGGAACCCTTTTGTCCAATAATGTACGCGGAACGTCGGGGACCTGGCGTCCAGCAAGGCACAAAAATAAGCCACGTGATTGGCATAATTCTAGGCAAGATTGGGCTTCACTAGCGGCAACCAACCTGACGCCGTGGACGGGGACAAAGCCAGCCCCTCTCATCTTCCCGCCTGCACACCATAGACGAATCGACCTTGAGGAGCAATCACCAAGATCGAAACGCTCCTAAATCCCAGCCCTCTGGCCATGGCAAGGGAGCAGTCCCTACAGTTCATTATCGCAAATGCCGATGATTTCGAACCTACTCAAACGCGGCCCCATGGCCCGACTGTGCCGCCGTCAGAGAAAAGGAAGCGGTGGGAGCCAATAATGAGGAAGCTACTGGCGGAGAAGCTTCCGCAAACGGAGCAGGATTGGGACCGCATCCTCTGTACACAGGATGATGTGGAAAGAACACTTCAGACGCTTGTGCTCTCGCATCTCAGCCCGGCGAGAAAGGCCGCCCTAAGTTGGAAGGACCTTTTCAGCGAGTGCGCGGACCACTTCCAGCGATTGGCCCGGGAGAAAGCAGGTGAGAACCTGATCGAACTCTTCAAATTGGCCGTAATCGGCGTTTCCGAAGTTGCCATAAAGGAAGGCGTTGCGAGAGACGAGATATATGAATATTTGCGGCACTGTCTGGGGCATTACAGCAGGTCAGGGCAGCAGCTTGGCGATGAGACCCTCCGGAAGACCGTCAAAGCAACACGAGAAGGGATCCAATTTGTTGAGCGCTTCGTGAACATACTTGGACCGCGGTCCAATGAGCTTCCTCTATACGGTATGAATAGTCCATTTTTGGGGTGTTAACGCTAAGGATGACCCAGTGGCATCGTGGACGACGGTATTCCTTAGCTACACCGCGGAGTGCGGACAGTATATTGAGCAACACAAGTCCTCTGTGTACCGACCAAAACGGCAGTTACAATCAGGGTGCCTGTCAGTTATCAATCTGGTATATTTGTTACTAGGTGGCAAGTATTGTGGACGAGAGTAATACTACTAATTCACCGTATGTCTTTTGTCCGGCTGACGAGTAATGCAGTCCTCGAAAGATCCGCGATATTTTCCTCTCGGACCAAATGCTGGCTTGTCAGAGCCGATTAGGGGTCAACTTTCCTACATCCTCCTCATTGCAGGCATGCGATCGGTTTACTTCTGCACCACGTCAACGAGCGTCCACTAGGCTCTATGCCCTGGGATACCGTACCATTGAGCTTCAACAGGTGGCAATATCTGACATCATGACCGACATTCTCATTACGCGTCCTACTCAAAGAGCACAGGGCTTGTACTCGTATGGGCTTCCCCAGGCTTGCGTGGAATACTTCGAAGCCGCTATCAGGGAGAAGGTAGGTGGCGGGCAACTATCATAACCCCGGCCCAACTCGACGAATGCTAAGTATAGTGTAGGCTGTCAAGCTCAACACCTTGCCATCGATGCAGGGTGCTACACTTGAGAACCTTCTCACCCTACCCGCTGAAGCGTTCCGAAGCGAAGTGGGGACCGCAACCTGGCCAACCTTGGGTGGTGCGCTTCTGCTTCCGCTCACAAATGAAACAGTTGATGTCAAGCTACTGGATCGATGCACGGAGACGGCGCGTCGCAGCGCCTGGCATTCAAATCAAGTCATGTACCTGGAGCACGAGGGGCTTGCTGCTATCAATGGTAGTATCCACTATATTTATGTCCCCATTGACTTGCCCGGCTAGGCTGCTGGTACCAAAAGAGAACAACTTTCTGCCTATTACTTGGTGCCGTTACGTTGGGGGGTACCCAAAGATACTCTCGATTTGTGAATTTGTTGCAGCTGTATTTTGCCTTTTGTAACTGGACGAGTTCGTCCTTTGCAGACTTTGCGGTGACACCCGCGTAGGAAGCTGAGTTTGGTCTGCCTCACAACTTGTCAAACAATGAACCAACCAAGCGTGAGACCCCATGCCCTATGCTTATGTCCGCTGTCTGTGCCTTCATCTAGCCGGGGTTGCTTGCCCAATCTCGCCAATCACCTGCAGAATAGCTCCTTCCACAAATTCTTCGCCTCGAGCGTCCAGTTCATTGATTGGAAGGTCCCCCAGTCCGGCCATAAATACAGCCGTTGCTCCATTCTTGGCGCCGTTTACAGCGTAGAATTTGTTTTCGCCACACCGTCCTCCACTCAGAACCATCCATCACGCCAATCGCCGCAGGCACCTGGATCGTGAACGGGCCACGAATGCTTGTGTTGCTACACAGGGAGCGCGTACTCCAGTAACGCTCCAGAGACTGCATATCTGATAGGTATCGAAAGTGGATGTGGATCGTCCGCGCATCGTCGCACTTTTGGCACAGCCCCGCCTTGAGTTCGACGTGCGATTCCAAACGCCTGGTCTTTGGGCACGCCGGGTTGTGACTGCACTCGTTGGGCTCGACAGTGTTTATATGGCCGCATTTGAGTGCAATATCAGTGACGAGATGCTTGACCATCGTGGGAAGGTGTCAACGGGGTTCCGTTGGCTTCTCTGACGTACACCTGGGGCTCCTTGCCTTATATTAGAAATCATTCTTGCTCGACAGAAGGGCGGGCTACACCGCATCGCACTGTGAGGAGATGGACTAACGCTCGATCCGAAAGGCCTCGGAGCGAGTGGCCAATGGGAGCGGTCGGACATTGGCTACCGAGCCTCTCTCAACACTCTTTGTTCTTCTTGGCCTACAGTCCTGCGGAGCTAGTCAATACTAATACGGTTGTGGCACTAGCACACTGTCACGCGCCTAAGTCGAGAAGTGGCCGCTGTTGGCATGTAGTCGGGCGGCAGGTCTGTACCCGTTGCCATGGGCATGATAATCCTCGCCATCTGCGTGCTCGGGCATGAATGTGGAAATGGTATGGACCGTTGGTATGAGAACTTTCAGTTTGCTTGGATACACGTACAGTAGCAGAAATTTGACGAGGATGCTTGAAAGCGGCAAACATGGCACCAATAGTGATGTCGTTGCAGTTTACAACGCATCATGAACAAGCCGTGACATGTACCTCTTCTCTTCTCCCATCGCACACCTTCCTAGTCCTAGCCCACACGGGCTTGGCTTGCTTGACGTTGGACGCTTTGCCATTCCTGGCGGACGCGAGGAGCGAGTCGTGCTGCCCCTTGTTCCCTCTTTTCTCCGCACGCTCAGGGTCGTCAGAGATGTGCTAGCGAAGTAGTCCTGAATTTGTCCGCACTGGAAAGCGGATCTAGAACGATGATACTGTGGGGGTTGATGACATTGCGATCGATTCGAAAAGAGATCTCGCGAAAGCCAATAGTCTCGAGGTGGTCATCAAGGTAATGCACCTGTATGAGCTTGTCTTCAGTCTTTGTATACACGGAGGATATGCCATTCTTCCATGCCCAAACATGTACCTTGAATCGAAAGTTATCCACGATCAGGCGGACTTAAGAGTAGATGTCCTCGTCACCTGAGACGAAGATGCATTCAGCTTGCGACCCGGTGTAGAAAGTTGCCGTTGCGTGCATCATAGATTCGGCGGAGAGCGAGCTGTCAACACGTTTTTCGCGACCGTCCCAGGAGCTGCGGGCGTACGCATTTACTTTCACGTTGTGACTTTCGATCGCCCTCCAGACTGTATCCACAGGGGGCGGTGTGGAACCATACAAATGAATTTCAGTGTCGCGTGATGCTTCGGGTTGGATGGTCGCATTTGCTATAAGGACATGCGTCAGATGGCCAACGTCGAACCGCCATGTCCTGTCTACCGGGACGGTCAGTCCTTTAGCTTGGGCATATGCTTTCTGCCCTTGAATCCACAGGTTGGAGTTGTCGATGTAAATAAATAACTTCTTTTGCCGTCGGGCAGTAAAGGTTTGGCAGACGGGCAAGGCCGAAGCTCTGCGACAGGCAGCCTTTGGAGGCAGAGAGCATGTTCATGCCGGTTTCCGCGGTGACCGCGATCGTGATTTCGTTCGTTTAGCAGGAGGCTCAAAGTCCAAAGGCTGAAAATCCCGTGACAGTGGGTCATCTGAACTGTCGGACTCGTATGTTGTTTGCGCGTTCGAATCTGCATGAAGCAGCGTTGTCTGGCTGGTGACTATCGTGTCGGCGGCCGACGCCTCGCTTGTGAAGCTTGATGCCAAGTCTTTGGCATTCTGCGGCGGTGTGCCGCCGGTGCTTGTGAGCAACCTTTCGTTGGCTGCCTCAATGGCGTTGTCTCGCTGTGTTTTCGCCCAGTCTCGCAGGTTTCGGTACGCGCCAGCGCCTCGCCGAAAGGTATCGGCATCCCCCGTTAAACCCCATGTTTTGATTTGTGTCATGACAAAGCCGCAGTCTCTGCTTGGACCAGATGCTGGGATCGGATGACTCGTGTACATTTTTAGCTGCCCTCCGTGATAGACAGAAGTGATGGTATATGCCGTATTGTCGAGTTTTGGCACCTCTCCGAACGATTGGACGCTGCGAATCGCTCTCGCACCGAGTGCTCCGTCATAACACGCTTGTCGGGTTGCAACTGACAATGATCCGTCCGGACCCTTCACCGCCAGGGAGAAATTGGGCACTATCGGGAGATCCTGCTGAGTGGATGGCACTACCATCTTGTTCAATTCATTGCGAGCCGTCCTTTTGAGCTGCTCGGGACGCGCGCCGTAGTACAGATCGGGGTTGCCCGGCACAAGCGTACCATCGGTCAAAGGGCCAAGGTTGGTGAATGGGATCTGGCCGGCAACACACTTTCTGTCTCCTGCATTGCCTTCTATGAATGGAATAACCGTTGTTGTGACGTCCCTTTCTTTGGCCGCATGGGTATCCGCACGTTCAAACTTGCGGAAGTCGTCGTTTGTGAACTTGGACGGAGAGAGCGACCCTCTAGGCACAGCCAGAATCTGGCGTAGCTCATCGATGTTGTCGGGTTCTGGCGGCAAACGGCCATCCGGGTATTCGTAACCGTGAGGGAAAATGTCGTGATCGATCAAGTGTTGTTGGAAGGCGCGGTCATATGGACCAGTACTCTTCGTGCTCGTTGTGTTCGGGGTAGCACTGCTATTTGATGGCGCATTCGAGCTCTTCTTTGCTGGCGACTGTGATCCTCTCTTTCGACGCCGCGAACTCGACTGGCTTGAGCTCATCTCGCCTTGGACCTCTACAGGTATGCGGTACTGTTCAATCATCAACAGCGGATCAGGAAAGAGATTTTTGCCCTTACCCCTCGTACGTCCCACAAGTCGGGGCCGCCTTGTCTGGCAGAGCGTTGGAGCTGCCTCAAGCAAGCTGGAGACAATTGCTCGACGAAGCGACTGGCGTGGATCTTCCGTTGCGACGATCGACCGCAGCAATTTGTGGACTTCTGACTACGGAGAAATTGCGCGTCCCTCCGCTGCAACTCTCGCAGCGCCCTCCGTGTGAGCGGGATAAACGATAATCGATCCCAGAACCTCGATGGAGGGAATGCCGGGTGGTCGAGCTTGCGCTTCTTGTGCGGAAGGCCGTCACGTTCGTGTTCCGTTTCACGCGAAGCTGAAGGCGCGCGGCGCTTGCGCAGGTCAGGCGTGCGTCGACCTGTGAGCGAATTTTCGGCACGAACCATGTCTGACGGCTTGGTAGATGGACATGGCGAAGCGACACTTTTTAAGCAGAGACGACAGTTGACAGAGTCGCGTTAGCCCAAGAGCCGCGCGGTGTCATGTGTCGACTTGTCATCAAGGAAAGAGCTCCACTTTTTGAGTCTCAGCATTCGACGACCAACCAAACGTAGGCGCCTGCCAAAATGTCAGACATGTGCGGGGCCGTGACTCTCTTCACGCACCTCCTTGGCCAAACTCCGCTCCTAATGTGAGGGCTGTCAAAGGCGCTTCATGAAACAGAATGCGCCACTCATGTTGAAAGATTGAATGTGTGGCTTCACAGAAACCTTGCTGGCTGGTCTTGCCATCTGTCACGCCGTTGCTTCAAAGTTTAGGATTTGGCGACGACTCGTGCTTGCTCGATCCTACTGATGTACGGAAGCCAACATTGTGCGTTGCGACACAAGACAGCTCACAGTCAATCCTGACTCTTGATGGTTGCTCATTGCCCTTGAAACGGAGGCATGGGTGCGGCTGGAGGAGGGCACTTGCCTTGCAGTGCAGGCTGTGCCGGGACACCGCAGATTTGGTGTGTGTTTTCGGTTGTTGCCTGGCTGCCCAGGTTGTCGTTAGTTGGCTAACGTCTTGTGCCTGAGGCATTTCCAACACCCGGAAAAAGCAAGCTCAGCAAACGCCATTTTGCTCAAAACCGGCCAGGGAAAGGGTGTGTATTATGTATTATGACACCAATCGCTCAACCTAAACGCTGCATCTTTCATGTCTGGTTTCCCCCTTACTTGATCCTAAAGTCTCTGCACTTCGTGCGATAGTCAGTGACTGGTAATGGAACATTCCCGGGCATTGTTGGAAGTCACCTACCCCGAAAGTACTGGTGGTCATCATCAGCCGTTCCCGTTGCACTTCGGACAGATGCCGGTGCCGATCTTGCCCGAGCCGCCGCAGTCTGAGCAGGTCATATTGTACTCAAGGTTAAAGAACTGAGTGCCGCTGCGAGGGCTTCGATTTCAAAATATAGTGTTGAAAAATCCAAGTCAATCTTAAGATCGGATGGTCATGTGGACGCGTTATGACGTGTTCGCGTTGACCACGTGATAATGCAGACTAACGAGGTGACCCCCACCCCAACTTCACCCAGTCGCCAATCTCCTCTCTTTCCCTTCCAACGACCCGCAAAGTTTCGTCAACAATGGCTCGTCAAACTCAATTTCTGTTGGAAGACCCAAGCAAGCCTTCAATGGCAAAAAAGAGTGATTGCCAACGGACCTGCCAAATATGCTTTTCGTCATTCGACACAACACAACAATTGCGCGACCATGTTGGGAGCTTTCAAGTCAGTTCGCAACACAGCACGGATAAACAGCACTAATCAACCCCAACAGCTTGAAGCGCAACGCCTTGTAGCTAGAATGCTCGAAGTCCAAATGCATTTGCCGCGATTGACTGTCGCTCGTGACGTGTCTCTTGGTGGTAGGGACTGCAATCGAAATAGAGCAGGGGACAGAAATGATGAGCATCACGGTGACGATGTCGGTGACGATGATGTGGACGATGTAGACGAGGGGGACGACGATGACGACGATGACGACGATGACGATGGCGATGACGATGACGATGACGACGACAAACGCGACGGTGATGACGGGAAGCCTGGTTCCAACAGACAACCAGAGACTCGGCCTAGGTTTGGCTGTCCTTATTCAGGATGCCGACGCCGAAAGGCGTTCGGAGCACAGGCTGACCTTAAAAGCCATTTCCAATCACGTGCGTTCGTGCTTCCCCTTGATCGGCATATGTTAATCTATTCAGACCTTGACTGCTTCGAAGTTTGCGTTTACTGTCGGAGTCCGTTTATGAAAGTCCGAAAATTCCTTAGGCACAGCTGTAAAGTCCCTCATCGCGACCACAGTAGAAAGGAATTTTACAGGAAAGAGCGGCGAGCCCAGCTACGAAGGTACACCTCCAACGAGCTCGCTCGAATGCTGGGCAACAAGTCCCAAAAGCTGGCCCCGAAACGACGACACTGTGAATTGAATCAGCCGCCGGAATCGTATACCAACCCAATTGCCAAGCGTCGACTACATGAAACTGAGCCATCTCTGCAAGGGCAGTTGCAAGAACAGTCTAGGCAGCCGTTGCTCGGTACGATCTACCCCGTGGCTTTTCCTGTTTCGTGACTGATCATTCGCAGCAACTACAGTTAGCAATATGGACAACACATGCGTTCCTGAACGACCGCCGGTGACATCTTCCCTTATGGCCGAAGCGCGGGGCTCAGATCGCTTCCGTGGACATTTCTTGACGGCAGATGAGACTGGTGCCTCATTCCAGTCGTACCAACCGGTGCCGCGGCACTGTGACGCCTTGCGTGAGGGACCTTGGGCACCAATCTTCGAGGAATTCACCATTACGCCATTCTACCACATGCAACAACCACAACCCGCGAATGGAGCTTTGTCAAATGCAATGAATGGGACATATCCGGCCATAACTGCACAGTATCTACCTAACTGTGATCAGCAATCCCTAGGGCCAGACAACACAGGTCAGTCCCAAGAAGTGTCAGGGTTGGTTCTCTATTAGGTCCATGATCCTACAAGGATTCGATATATTTCACGTTCATGCCAAATTTGGAGTCCTCCATGCTGTTGATTATTTCCTCTAAATTTGGTGATCTTGGTATTTCCATCGGGTTCCACCAGTGCTCCAGGACTTCTCTCGCTCCAAATGCAAGTGTGGCAGTTCCGCCTTCCGAGATCTCAACTGCTGTTCGAGGGTCTAGGATAATACTTATCTGAGTCAGTTCTCGTTGGTAACACACAGAGGAGTTAAGAGACATCCACGTACAAACCGCCTTGCTCGAAAGTGTACGTTACCGGCGAGAGGCGGAAGCGTCTGAGAGATGCGCGAGGAACCAGCCACAAATTATTCTCGCCCTTAATGTACGGAAGTGAACATCGATGTGAGCCTTTCCAGAGAGTAACCGTGGATCCCTTGCTGAGAACGTGCACTAGAAGGCACCTGCCGTCCATTTCCGGGTATTTTGGGTCGTTTTTCTGGAAAACGTAATCGCCATGTCGCGCACCGAAAGATCTATACAGCCCTAAACCAAACCACTCGAAAAAGCAATCAAGGACAGTCCGTATACCCTAGGGAAGGTCAGCTTTGTCGTTATCGCGAGCTGATGCCCTTGCTTACCGGATTATCGAGGACGTTGGCCTTGCAAAAAAGTAAACCAGTAGCGGAGGCTAGTGGAATGCTCTCCTCGTCCATTCTTTCCAGGTTTTGACCAACCTCTGCGTCATCGAGGAAGAAGAACCCATCCTCCAATATTGCGTTGCGCTTTCGCTCCAAAGACAAGTCCATCGATGCCGTCGAGTCGGTTCAGTGCCCAGGATCATTGTACTGTCGTCACATGAAGAGGGGTCCGGCAAAACCTTCCGCTCGGGGTAAGCTGGGTAATCTCCGGGTAAACTTATGGTCTTAGATCGCCGTGATTTGTCGAACGTGATTACCAGGCACGACTACGTAGCCCTGCCCAATGACGAAAAGCGCAGCGACCGCCCAAAGAAGCGAAAGGCACAACAAGACAGCCTTACCCAAAGAGGCGAAAAGCACAGTTGGACACTCTTGCCCAAACAAGCGGAAAGCACAGTGGAACATTCTTGCCTAAAAGCGCGAAGAGCACAATAAACGTTGTACGCCTTTTTTGGCAGTCAGCACAGTCTTGTGCTAACTGCCTAATCCGGTCTAGCCGGCGTTAATGCTGTTGTTCCTGTGCATTACCGAGATGCAATGTGCCACTGATTCCGATACACTCTGACATCCCGTGCTATCACCCGATGCACGCTGGCCCTTGACCCCTCCTTGAGAATAATGCCAGATTGAGTCTGTCGGGCTCTCAAACAGCAATAAGCCTGGTTGAGTGGTTGTCATGTCCATCAGAATTCAGTAGGAACATTGACAAGATACTGAAAGGGCCGCAAAGATACCGGGACACGAGCGACTAGTGTTACAGGTCTGGTCAATGACACTGTTATTTGCGATTATATTACCAACTAGTCTAGTCCGAATTCTCTGTCTCCAAGCCCCATCAAACTAGTTATCTATTCAGGGTGCGCTTCGTAGTCTAAGCACAGGCCTGCTGAGAGATGTGTGTCTGAGCATCATCTGAATGGACATCATCCTGCCCAGTGTCACCTTGCTCCTCGCCGCCAGGCTTGCCACCATCTGTCGGACCGTTTGTGCCGTTTGTCTGGCGATCGGCGTCCGTTGTCGTGTCATGATGGGCAGTGTCGTTGGTTTCTGAGCCCGACCTTGGAAACATGATTTGGCCCATGTCGACGTGTGTAGTGACTGGCGGATCGTTCTCATCAAGTTGGAAAGTAGACATCGTGAAACATGTAGGAGGCAGCTCTATAAACGCCTTGACCAAGAGTCAGAGATGCCCTGAACGTTGGAGAGAACCTTCTGCGGAGATATATATATGTATATTCGTCATGGCGCAGCGCGCTCCTTGTACAACTTTTGTATCTGCATGCTTAGTTCATGCGTTGGCAGATGCCTGCAAGACGGTCACGCAGTAGGCCGCCTCGTTTGCCAACCATGCATCCGAACCGGCTGCATACCTATTCCGCTAACGACTCGGCTCGACGACATGTTGACGCCCCCTGCTTTGGCCCTTCGGGGAGATGCACCTGTGCGGTTGTGTAGCCGTCGAGCGTCGGCGTATGGTGCAAAGTTCCACGGTACCATCATCGTGGAGCTGAATGGTCCCCTGAACTCGGCCTCCCCATTCTGGGGACTCCTTGCCCGGACAATTGGACAAATCCTGCGGCATGGTATCTGCTAGATGGGTTAGTGTGCACAGAGCGTCGGCTCACACTTGGGAGTTTGCTTACCAACGGGATTGCGAACAGACCAACGATGCGAATGTTCACCAGGATACGAGCAGGGCGATTGTTCCTCTTATATGGCCAATGGAAGGCGCAATCTAACCGCCGGTAAGGAGTGAGCCATCTCCATGGTGAATCGGGCCTGGGTGCTGGTTGAGATGTGACACGACGATGGGTGACCCTGCGATCATAGCTGAGCTGGCGCCCCCTCGGCAAAGCTCCCGTCCAATGGCCCCTTCGTCTTCCTTGTTTGATCTACGCTGGTCGGGATCATTGCGGCAGGGCACGGTTCTCCACAGATTGGCATGAACTAACAGGTCTATGATCACGGGGGCTGCATGATCCGTCGCCTGTTATGGGCACCTCAGTTCCATTGGATCCCAACCACCCCTTGGCCGCCAGCCACAAAAGGCACATGCAACGTACGTAAACGCTGCTTCGGCGGTGCCGGGCCTCAGGCTAGATTCAAGTTAGATGTGATGGGATGATGGTGACACACTGTACATAGCTTAGCTGGCGGCGATATGGAAAAGTCCCCCACCCGATGGCCCCTTCCTTCTCGTGTCTTAGCCACCTGGGGTCTTTGCGGCACGGGACAAGTTCCCACAGACTAACATGAACTTGGGGGACACTGATGCGTCAATTCTGAAGGATTGCACCTTCTCTCTCAAGCGCCACCCAATAGAGCATCCATGCACGGTCTGATCAGTATATAGCCCTGCCGCGCACGGCTCTTCGTCACTTTTGTTGCTTCGCTAAACCTCCCCAGCTGCTCTTCAGCTTAGCAATAAGGGTTTGCATCACGGATTTGCAATGACGAATGTCCCAGCTTCCACGCCCCGCGACCTGCCGGGTCACTTGACGCAGAGTTCGAGGCAACTTGCGACTCCTCAGCATACCGTGGTGCCCGCTTACAGCGCTAGGCCGGCGGATTGTCCTTCGGAAGCCCAGTACCAGTACCAGCGACAATCTACCGCCCGGGGACCCGGGAACGAAACGCTATGGGCGAAGATATCCGGCATCAAGGCCGCCAGTGGCAAGCCCATCAGTCACGTTTCTGGATCGCCGGCCAAGAAGAAAAGTAAGTCATATTCTATCCTCTCCAAACCTCCAGCCACCGTAGCAGGTGTCGTGGTCTAGGTAGTGTTAGTTGACGCAGCGAAAACCTCGCTCCATTGCACAGGGGACCGTTCTGGTTCCGCCTTGACACCAGCACAATTACAGCGCAAGAGAGCAAAGGACCGCATGTACCAGAAGAAGGCCCGGCAGAGGATCCAAGACAGAATCAATTGTCTCACAGAAGAACTCCGGGGCTTCAAAGAACTTCAAAGCAATGAAAACGAGGCTATCCGGGACCTCCGTCAACGCAACCAAGCCCTGCAAGAAGAGGTAAGGGATCAGAAACGGCTCCGGATCAACGACAGGCAGACTATCTGTCAAATATGTTTCAGGAAACAAGCGCTTGAGGCAGAGTCGGCCTCTCTTTTCGCGGGATTCGGGACGCCATGGGCGGGAGCAACGATTGGAACAGCCAGCCATGCAGACACCTCTGACGGCGAAGCTGGCTTGTGGCCGATTGTCGTTAGGCCCGTCCAACCGTATGGAGGCCAGCTCAGTGGCGCTACCGTTTGATCTGGTATCTGATTTATTTGATGTTGGGTGAGGCTTTTGATTTAGTATGAATACCATTTCGCTTAGCTCAATATACAGAATATACCACCGGTGGTCCTCGCCCGCAGATCGGACATGTCGTCGTTGGTCGAGCACCAGCGGAGCTTGCCACTGATCCCGCCAGCAGATGTCAACAAACCGGCTTTTCTCATGTGTGCATATTAAGAAAGTGATGACTATGTTTCTGTGCTCCCGGGCGCATTTCTGATCGCGGACTCAGGCCCACATAAGGAAAGGGCGTGTCTGTCAAGGTATACTGAGAGTTTCTGAAGACTGGCCGGATCGCGAACCGTGATGGGAAAATAATCGCACCGTCTACCCCAGAGCTGGCATTCGAGGCGCTCGCCAGTCCTTCCGGCTGCACTGCCGGGCGAAACTTCTACCACAATCACCGGTACGGAAGGCGGCGTCGTCCAAAAGTGGCGGTAGTAGTGTCCCGTCGAGATTTTGTCGGGGCGGAAGACGAAGATGATTAGATCATAGTCGGAAGCGGTTTTTATGCGCTGTATTTCGGCGTCCGGCAGACTGCCGGGTGCTTCGATGAGGCTGTAACCTCGACCTGGCGGGTCGTGACGTTGAACTCCAACCGTGGGCATGTACTAAAGAATGTTGGATGACATATCTCGCAGTGGTATCGAGTAACTTACTTGAGCGTCTGGCTCTTCGTTCATGAGCATATTGATCAGGCCGGTCTTGCCGACGCACAACTCGCCGATGATCAAGCACGATGATCTCCTGCTGACTACTCTGCGTGATAGCCAAGACAAGACGACCGAAATCGAGTAAGCAAGAGGCTCGAAGCAGGCAAACATTTTGACCGTGTCGGCGATGCTTGAATGCGTAGTGAATAGATGCGGAAAGTATGGCTGTTCAGATTGATGCAGCTGGTTGCCGAGAATGTTTCATCCTTACCATCGGCGCAAGATGGCTGTGCGGCCGCGGTGGTTGAAGAATGAATTGAGAAATGCCTGGGGTTTCTGCTCGGGCGTAGAGACAGGCCTGCTGGCAGCAGGAGAAATGCATCCGCTCAAAGAAGTAAGGCGGACCGACTGGCTTTAGCAACCGGGATGTTTCCCGCATCCGCCGAAGTCAACCCTCTGAGAACGCCACGCCCACCATGTCTCACTCCCGTCTTATCACAATACACAGTACCAGGGTATAAAGATACATGCGTCATGGTGCGGCCGTAAACTGAGAACGCTCAAGCGTCTGGTGTTCCCACCCTCCCCAGGGGTAGGGAGGGGGGCGAGGAGAGGGGAGAACAGTCCCGACCGCGACTCGTTCCGCCGCCCGCCCCCTTCCAGGAGTAGTTGCACCCTCTTGCCACGACTCGTTCATCATCCACGGCACCGCAGCAGATTCGGACATGCACCACCCGCTGTGTCCGACGCGCGATCCGAGCACCGCCAGGCGAGCCGCACCAGAGCCACACTTGACCAGGGAAACAAGCCTGGGTGTTCTTTTCCGATGTGTGCATCATGACTCCTGCGGCATGGCGCTGGACTCGCAAGCACACCCAGTTACGCACTCTCAATATAAGGTAGTGCGTAGCCAACAGAGGGGAGATGGAGAGTGCTGTCTCTACGCTCTCAACAATGGCAGTCCATCTCATCACCAAGATCTCCGTCAGGTGCGGCCACATCGACAGCGTGGGCTACGGAAAGTGCAGCCATAGCCGCAAATGTCCGGAGCAAAACCGTTTTGAGTCCCATGTCGAGCTCAAGCTCAAAAACTGTCAGAAGTGCGAGGGCGACAAGATGTTTCGAATACACTTCGGCCATCTTTCGGAAACACTGTCTCTCAAGCGATACTGGACTACGCGCCATCTACTCAACGACGAAAACACACACGGACCATTCAGAATCTCGGCGAAAGGGGTGACCGACTCGGAAGAGGCTCCTCAATGGAAAGAGATATGGCAAAACAATATTGTACGCCTGATATGTCAGGCCAAAAATGGAGCAACAACTGTCTATATGGAAAGTTTGGTCGTTCCTATTCACGAGCTGGATGATCGGGTCGAAGACTTTGTGAAGGAAGTGATACAGAAGGCACTGAATGAGTTGCCCCAGCGTGCCGTGTAGCTCAGACGGAGGGAAGCGCAGACAGGGCGATACACTACTGCAGCAAATTCACAAACTTCTGTAGTTAAACTTCATTTCATTAAAGACTTCTCTGTCTGGAAGTGGTCTGGAAGTGATACGCCACCTTACAGTGGTCGCTGAAGGGGAGCATAGATAAAGTGGATGCTACCATTGATAGCAGCAAGCCCTTCATGCTCTAGGTACATGATGTGGTTGGGACGCCAGACCTTGCGACGCGCCGTTCCCGTGGCCCGATCCAGTAGCTTAACATCAACTGCCTTGTCTGTGAGCGGAAGCAGAAGAGCGCCACCCGAGGTAGGCCAGGTCGCAGTTCCGACTTCGCTTCGGAATGCTTCAGCAGAAAGGTTGAGTAGGGTTTCACGCGTAATACCCTTCTTGGCTGCCCAGTGCTTGAATTTGACAGACTACGCCCATTATCATCCGCGGAGCCATTCTCGACGTGTGTTACTTACCTGGTCTATGATAGCAGCGTCAAAGTATTCTTTCGAGGCCAAAGGAAGCCCGAAGGAATAAAGACCATGTGCTTTCTGGACGGGGCGCGAGATAGGGCGCGAGATGATGACATCGGTCAGGATGTCAGATATCGCCGCCTGCTTAAGCTCAACGGCACGGCCTCCGAAGGAGAAGAGCTCATCAGATCCCCTCCGTGGTGCAGGTGACGACGGATTGCATGATTCCAATGGCAACCGTGGTGGAAAGATGGAGCTCGACCAACTCTGACAATCTAGCGTATCGTTTGGGAGAAAGATGTCACGGATCTTCTGAGGACTGTGCGGCGTATCAGAACGGCCATAAAACTTGTGAACGAGATAGACCTACCTTCGCCCGCTATACCCACCGCCCAGTAGCAGATACACCACATTAATTACCGACAGGCAGCCTGACTGTAACGCCTTCTCCGGGCGATACACTCTATGTTTCTGCTGTGCAATATACACTCCGCACTCCGCGGTGTAGTCGTGGAAGACTGTCGTCCATGATTTCACTGATTTGGGTCAGCGTTGCGGTCGGCAAAGGGGCCTGAGCATACCGTATAAGGGAAGCTCGTTGGAACGTGGTCCAAGGATATCTGTGAAGCCCTCGACAAATCGAATCCCTTCTCGTACCGCCTTGATGGTTTTGCGGAGACTCTCGTCGCCAAGTTGTTTGCCCGACTTGGGGTATTTCCGTAGACACAGCCGCAGATACTGATACACCTTGTCGCTGGGAATGTCCTCCTTGATGGCGACCTCCGAGAGAGCAATAACAGCCAATTTGAAGAGCTCTATGGGGTTCTCTTCCGACTTTTCTTGGGCAAGAAGCTTCAAGTGCTTGGAGCACTCGTCAAAGCGACCCCTCCAACTCAAGGCAGCTTTCTCGGTCGGACTGAGGTGGGGCAGAACAACTTGCTGCAGAATTCTGTTGACGTCGTCTTGGGTACGCAGGATCCGGTCCCAATCCCGCTCCGTTCGCGGAAGTTTCTTGGTCAGTAGGTTCTCAACAATTGACTCCCACCGCCTCACTTTCTGTGCCGATGCTGTAGATGACGCGTGGGGTCGGTGTTGAGTGGATTCGAAGTCAACGGGCTTGATGACAATGAACTCTGGCGGCTGCTCCGTCGCCATGGCGAGAGAAGGTGGGGAGTAAGAGATGCTGCGTATGTCTGGTAGCTCACAGGCAGATGTTAATCCATCGGCGAGGGGGGGGTCGCATGTCGGTGATGATTCCCAAGCGGTCGATTGGCACTGGCTGCACTGGTAATCTAGCTTGTCATAGCGCCGTTTTCGCAATTGTTAGTGGCATAATATCCTGGCCCACGTTCATGCCGATCGCGCTGCTTCAGTGTGCTTATAGGTCTGTGCGGTACAGCCCGCCGCGGACGTGTCTTTCCGCGCGTCATGCTACGCGAGGGTGCTTCGGTTTTTCTTTTGTGAGACATTTGTTTGTGGCTTGTGTTCGTACGCTGCTCACTGCCGTTCCTGGCGGACGCGCGGGAAGATGGCGGCCCGTTGTCGGTGGGGCCGAACGGCGGGTCGCCAGCGATCAACTTCCAAACCTTGAGCATGCGAGTCCACCCAGATGGCACAGCGAGCATCAATCCAGCCTGCAGGAGCAACCCAACAGGTGAACAATTCTTGTAGTCGGGCTACCGGGAGTAAACTAATCTATTTGTGACAGCTGCGTCGAGCGGCCGACGGACCATGACGCCCGCCCGTAGTCACCCGTCGTCTTGCCTTCCAGGTTTCTACGCCGCCTTGCGCCCGTAGACGTTTACCCTGTGCCGACACCAGCTGTCAATTACGGAACCGCTTGCGATGGAGCAACTTACTTACATGCAGTAATATGGCCGTATTTTAGGATCCCGGATTGCATTGCGCATCTCCATGACGAATACCTGTATGTCTTCATACTCCCAATCCATAATCTCCTTGAGAATAAATAAAGCGAACCCTTCCAGGCTCTCGAGCATGAACGCAAGGCCGTACTTCCCAATTTCCTTCTCAATTGGGTCGCGGCTCCAAGAGCCAATCGGCACTTTGTACTGTGTTTCTTCGACTTCGACAAAGCCTGCGTCGCCAATGAGCTTCGACATTTTCCCGTCGTCGACTATGCGAAGCGTCTTTCCCATCCGGTCGGCTCCTTCCCAAAGTACCTTGGCCCACCGCCAAAAGATATGGGCCGGGTCATTCTTCACTGCTTGTGCGTCGCTCTGCACGAGGATGCTGACTTCTGTGTTCTCGATCCAGCCACCTGGTCGCAACGCGTCGTATGTTTGGCGGTATAGCTCCTCCCAACTGCCGATGCTCCCGTAGAGACCACGAATATGGACAAAGTCGAAGCTTTTAAGGGCATAAGTCCATTTGAGCTGCGCATCTTCAATGTGGAAGACGCAATTGGGCGGCACCCATGATGGTTGCTTTGGGCTGATGTCGGTGCCAATGACCTCGGCTGATGGGAACTCATCAGCCATGTCGATTGCCCAGATACCGGTACCGGTGCCAATATCCAATACCCTGTCGAAACGATCGATCGGTGCTTCGAAAAGTTTCCCCCCCTTGAGCATCATCATGAAGTGATGGGCAATATCGAGGCCGTTCTGTTGTCTGTCATCGTTCGGACACCAGTACTCTGTAGTGCTAGATCTCGGGAATGTTCGGCCATTGATCTCCGGGTAGTCGTATATGCTGGATCGCAAAGTAGCTGTCGAGCTTACTACGCTGGCCACTTGTTACACGGGGGCTCGGCGACGTCTCGCGTCAGCATCACAACTCACCTTCTCTCATCAACGGCCGAATCCGCGTCCCCAGCATCCTGCAAGTTGCAGCTAGTCAGCAAATACGTGCTCCTTGCGCCGCAACAAGTTGGATGATGCTTGACTTCGGCGAGGCGGCTATAGTGGAAGGCACTTTACCACTAGGGTTTGCTCATCTGAGGGATCCTCCGTCTCGGCCATCCTCCCCGATAAGGAGTCATCAGTGACTCCAGTTTGCTAAGGGGTCAGCGCTCGTTGTGTTCGCCGGCCTGGCGTTTGGAAGTAATTTGGTCCGCGGAATGGGGAGGTATGCCACTATGAGGCAGCACGCCAGGCGGATGTTGTATGCTTGCTCGAGTCGGCAATCCACCAGCACGGGCGGCTGCGAGTTCAGTGGCGCCGCCCGCGGTGTGATCAGGATACCTTGGCTAATGGGTGCTGGACTCTTGATCGACTGGGGGCCTGAGGCTGGGAAGGCTCGAACCCCGCCCTGAAACCGACTGGATCGCCCCGCCTATTGATCGTCTCAGCCAGTTGGTCTACCGACCCACCCACGCCGTGCGCCCCCGATTTGTCGAGTGCGGATGCCCAGTTGCATTTTCACGCCATTGTGAGAGACGGTACCAACCCAAGCTCCAGCGCCAGCAGGCGGCCAGCTGCCTTAGATTCAACACGATGAGGAATGCTTGAACCGGTATCCGGTCAACGCTCGAGCGAAGTGCCTCTCTTTCTAGTAAGCATGGTGCTCTAGGTTAAATTGGCTCTCTGGTACGTGAGCATATGCCCACTGAGTAGGCACGGACTGGGAATTGGGAACAGATCAACGCCACTTGACTGCCTTGTTCGTGCCTCTAACTCACTGCGTGCTATTCAAGGAGTTCCCTCAAAGAGTAACGCACGCCGTTTGTATCTCCTCGCTCCCAGGTCCTTCGCCTCAGATGTTATGATTCCTCGAAACCCTGGACTGCCACTGCGACTACGGTGAGGAATTGGGCCGATTTCTGACCACTGGGCACGGATGTGACCGCGCAGCCAGGGTCAGAATACAACGGCAGGACCAGATGGGGCTGGAGCGAGTCGTGTTGCCCGTTGTTTTCTCCCTTTTCCCCCGAAAACTCACCCCCTGGTCTCCTTACTTCCCCGGTCTCTGTGTTGACGTAGCTGCACGTTGCTCAGCTTTTGCGCACTATTTGGCGTGCGATCGCCGGGCCATTGGTGGGTGCCAACACCTCCGCGCGTTTAGCTTCTTTCGGCGGACGTGATCCTCGTGGCGAATTGGTCTGGAACATGGCCCACTAACTCCTGCTCCTGGAGCAAATCCGTGCCCGGCTCGTCAACGCTAGACCGGGCACGATTCGAGCAAAAGAACTGCGTCGCAGCGCCTACGCCAGCCTCGCCAATAACCACAGTGCAGACACACTGTTTTGTTTGTGTACATGAAAATACCGAGGAGCTGACACGACTCCTGCCGCCGGTACCCTGGCGACTCCGATGGGATTTTGGACCTGGAGAGGTGAACGGCGTCCCGCGTACATATCACCAGGAACCGGACATTAGTCACAAGCCAGACAGACCCATGACGAACCTTGGGCAAGGTACACACAGCTCGTTGTCATGCGGGCGGGACGAAGTAGTTCGCCAGATGGAGGGGGTGTAAGAGTAGTGCACTTATGTTCAGCCGAACCCTGATGCTGCCCCGAATCATGTTCCCGCTTCCTGGCATTGGAGGTGGTGGCCTGGCTGGGGCGGCTGATGCGTGAAGCCCCGTCCGTTACATCGCGCGGGCATGAAGCGCAAGGACCGGCTGTCTCTCGCGCGAGAGCTTGGACGGAGCCGCAAAGCTGGGGTTCCCTCCGTTTCCTCAGCGAAGGGCTACGTCTATCGAGAGCCACATAGCTTCGGCTACGTCGACAGCTTTGAAAGGCCCATCGCTCGCCGTGGCCGTGGCGCTCGCTCAGACCGTTGGAGACCCAGGTGGTGGCGGGTGGCCTGTGGGAATTTCCGAGAGCAAACGCACGCGCCCTGCTAGCCGCCTACAGAAGCAGATACGCGATTGTGACAAGTGTGCGGCCTGATCGTGGGCACGGGAGTGAAATGCTGCTCCTGTGGGCAACGGGCCGCCGATCTCGGCCGCGAGTCGTCCAGTGTGGCGCAAGGGCTATACGACCGAGACTAACACCCCAGCCAAACACCTATCTAGGGATTCTTGGTTGTTGTGTTCAATTGTATTTTGCCGTCAACAGATGCAGCTCGCAATTTGACCCTCCACCCAGTGCGTTCCTCTCTCGAACCCAAGCCGGGGCTATGCCAAGTAACATTGCCCTCTGAGTGATCTGCCATGCGTCGGGGCGGGTGGTCCGGAGGGCCTTGAGAGTGCGTGCCTACCACGTTATCACCATCGACTCTGGAAGCGAGCCATAGGAATAATTCGCATCAAGGTTTACAGTGTTGAAAAGGAATAAGAAGGGCGCCTTTCCCTTGGGTGGAGTGTTTGGGTCAACGAAGAGGTGCTGGGTTGGCGTAAATAGGCGTGGTGCGGAAGGGAAAATGTTGCGTGGAAGGGAAAGCGTTGCGTGGAAGGGGGAGCGTTGCGTGGAAGGGGAAATGTTGCGTGGAAGGGAAAGCGTTGCTTGCAAGGGGGAGCGGCATCTCTGCAGCGCAAGAGGAGGGGCGGTTGGCAGTCACCCTACATAGCTACACACCATTGGTCCTCGCGTCGCAAATGGTGCCGCGACTCCCTCGACCCTTCCGCGTCAAGATACGCTCACGATCCTGCCATCGCCAACCTCATCCAGCGCGCGTCAAGCTTCCCGTATAACGAAGCACGCGTACTCGTTTTGACCGAGCGTCGCCGGATAGAGACATCCGGACGTCGCTTATGCGAGCCGCCCTATGACCCCGCTACTTGCCCGACTCTCCAAGATCGATTCCGTCGAACTCGGTATCGACAGACTGAGGCGAAAGGCAGCCGACAGACCAATGCCCGTTTCAGTAGTATGAAGGAAACGTTGTCCGTCATGGCCGGATATGACGCACCAATCGGACGATTCTCCTCATAATGCCGCAACGGATGACCGTTGCACATTGTTGCAGTGCGCGTTATGAGCTTGTCATTGGGTGATGCCGGTCAGCTTGGACTGAGCGGTGGCTGCCGTGACCAGGGTTTGACCAGAGTTTGATCGGTGACACAAGGCGTCGCACATGATGAGATTGCGACCAACACTCCTCCGCCCGGCATCTGCGTGTCATGGCGGAGTCAGCTCTCTCAAGCGCTTCTACAGAGAAGCGGCTGCCTCGTCTGCTTGCTTCTTGGCCAATCATCCAGGCAAGTAGGAGGCCCAGATGCCCGCCGCCCGCCTATTAAAAAGCCTC